TCATTTGCTTTCTCAAGGTGACCTTATAATTATGAAACGGTGCAAAAGCCAACACTATCTTTAAAAAATTCATAAAAAAATAGAGGTGAAGGATATTGCGACCAAAATTTGAGTACGGAGGTACATTGTGATGAGGAATCTTCCAGTGTTTGCCAAAAAATTCCATTCCGGCTGCTTTCTCCAGAATCGCAAAAATCAAGGGTGACCTTATAATTATGAAACGCACTGTATTGACTCTTACGGTGCTTAGTGCCAGTTCTAGAATGAAGAACCATAAAATGCCAAGCATCAGCGTTAAACGTCAGATGCACGTTTTGGTCAAACGCCTACCCATTTAATGTCGTGACAACCTTTGGAAAGACTCATACGAGCTAACTAACGCACCCGTTGGTGCTTCCAGACTACCAGAATTGGTCAAAGGGAAAAGTGCAATTTGGTTAAACTGAGCGAGGTTTAATCTGATATCAATTCCTTTTCTCTGCAAGGCGCAGAGACACCATGTGTTCTATGTTACCTCATGAAACTTCTTAGATGATTGTTTGCACTGAGATTTTTCTCCGAAGCTGTTAGCTGCTTGGAAGTTTTGAGTATTCCCGGCTACTCACATTAGGAAATTGTATAATAACACTTTCATTATACACTGCACTGCATTGCTAATGGCGTTGTGATCAACTACGAGATGAGCTCCGATCCAGACTAGCAAGGCCTTTTAGCTCTCCCGAGAACGCACCACATTTATCAGACAGAGCAGGATCCTTGACGTGCCCATTGGTTGGTCATTCCAAATACAACATTACTTTACAGCCCAAGTCGGAATCCGAATAACACGTTTTGAATGGGAGGATACATGGCACATCAAAAAAGGCCAATCGACATAGCTAGCTTCTGGCCATAGCCATTTCCATGGCATATCGGTGAACACCCTCGCTTATAGGGAATAGTTACACCGTCTTCCCTCTCTCTGGTATTTCAACCCTTAAATAAAGGTGCGGCAGAATTGATTAGGTACAGACAGAATCGTACGTTTACCTTCCAATTGCTACGAATTAATGACTGTCATCCAAGAAAAAATAGGTTCAGACTATGGAGTGATATTTATTTCTTTGAAAGTTTCACTAATATAAGTCCTCGCCTCTGAGCAAGAAAATGAACTAAGGCTCCCCTCCGTCTGATAGTGAGTGTAACATCCTTCACCTTATCGGAATGCTATTCCCGATGGAAGTATGCGACAGTATAGTTTAACAAAGTAAACCATCGCCTTTATTAATTACAAGATCATTTCAGAAAAAACTATCACCGATTCATCACAGCACAACATACTTACAGATAGACAATGGACACGAGTGAGGCAACCCCGGGGACGGATATAACAACGAACGCTGCATTTGTCAAGAATAAATGGAATGAGCTGTTTTTTGCATTTACTCCAATCCCGTGATGCCAATGATTTATATTCAGAGTTGAGACGAACCCATCGGCTGCCAAAAGGCGTGTGTGCACAGATACTGAGCTCTTCATTGCATTTTTGGAGTTTTAACCTTTTCAAAAAGTTCACCCCTGAAACCGTATTCTTCGCCACAGTAGGAGCATTTATCCACATAGTTCGTTTTCAGGAGCTGGAGTGGAAGAAGGCATGTGCAACAGATCGTCCCGTAAGCGAGCGCTTTTATGCACATCTGAAAAGTACCATGTGCAGTGTCTAACATAAACCCAAATGTGAACTTCCCAGACGAGCGTCTTCACACAACATCTATGTTATTTCATCAGATGTAGTGAGCTTCGTCAAGACATTTCCTTTCACTCTCCATTCTCTGTGATAACGAGTCTATAAGGCAATTCGAATAAACGACTAGAACCTAATTCGTGATTTCGTCCAGTAGGAGTCTCCCCTGTGAAGCAGTGATGGATGCAAGGCTTCTCAACAGAATTTCCCGTAAAGGTTGAACATTAAAGATAGAAGCTTGCTCTAATTGTTGCTGAGACTGGGGAGTGCAAAGAATTTGATCTTCACCTAATTCACCTGCCCCAACTCCATCGTTTTAAAAGAAAAAACGTAAGGGTTCTCTATCTGAGGATGTTACCGAGCTGACCTCTCTGATCCGTGCCTGTCCTCTTGTGATATACCCCAAACGACATTTAGGACAAGGCCTAGGTGGAGGACGTGCTTGGCCGTCAGTGCTTCTTGCACCGTTTGCGTTAGAATTCGAATTTGCGTTCGTGTTCACGACCAGATTGATTCCTCCTGCAAAGTTTAGCTTATGGTGCAAGCTCGAGAGCAAGTTACTATGTGAGCATCTTTTAAAGTGTGGTGCGACTTGTGGTAAAAATGTAGTTAGGTGAAGGGCATCTTCCGTCTCTAACACTAAGCAATAGAGTGTGAAAGAGAAGGGCAGCCTGCTCTGCGGGCCCGTTACGATGCTTGGAGACGTTTCTCAACAAACAGGAGTATAGCTTTGCATCTAAGCCTCAAAAGTGAGCAGCACCGGTAGTTGACAACTTAATGGTCAATTCGTTCCCATCCCGACTTTTTGCAGGCAGTAATCAGACCACCCATCGCGGTGCTCCCCGCTAATGAGGCTTGAAAAAAAAGGCGTGAACTCTGGCTAAGGAGCGTTTTCAAGCACCATTACAGGCCGTCGAGCCAGCTAGTTTCCTTCTCTGCGCTAGAGCGCTAAGTGAGGAAGACTAGGAGTGCTCCCAACTACATTTTTACCCTAGTTTTTTGAGCATTCGAATAAAAACTGCATAAACCACTCAAGACTCTACGATTTACATTGCCTAGGGCAGAATGCAAATTTATCGCTCGCGGGCTAATCATGAGTGATAGAGGACTTCAGCGAAGAACGTGCCAGCTCNCTAAAAGCTCATGATGCACTGCTCTTGCCTACCCTTCCTAATGTATAAAAAAAGTCCTTTGCATGTTTTGGAAGCCTTTCGAATGTGGCATCGCAAACTCCTCGGGAACAGATGCTCAGACTTCAATATGACCCCTGAATTTTTGTGGAACTATTTCAACTTATAACCGAAGACTGATACATAACCACAGGACTAGGATAAAAGGGTAACACAAAAAGGACAATAAAGCCACGATTCCATTTACCGCGGGAATATGAATTGATATTTGAAATAAGTAAAAGAGAACCATTTCTCATTAATTTGCGCCACGCACTTGATCATAGTTCATACTTGTATTATATAACGATATTAAATGGACACTTGACCTCTATATGCACAATTGTACCTACCGTATACCTAGACTTTGTTTAAAGTCATCCAATACAGAGTCAACGATTTTCAGCTCTACCCCGGAACTGAGTAAGTGCCGTTAATAGGTGAAGTAATCCGAAAGAATTATTACAAAAAGAAGTATAAGCCTATGAGTGAAGCTAAATGGTGATTTTACGTCGAATAAGGCCGTACTCGGCGTTTTCGCTGTGCAAGGATACTCTGAACCTTTGGAAAGGACTATTGCCGAGTCATTTACCTTACCGATGGCAGTCGGCATAACTGTTAAACTAGTGCTTAGGAAAAGTGGTTGAGATGATTTGGACTTCCTCCGTCCAAGGGAGCGAAGATTGAAAAGTAGTATGTGTAAGATGAGAAGCTACGAAGCTACAAGATACGAATAGCAAAGAGACTCAGATCTAAAAAGGAAAAGTTGGGACCTATAACCCGTTTCTGAAGCCCTTTTTTGTGATGATCTGCTGGGATAATGGTCAGGGAGAGCAAGAAGCGACGCGCGGTCCAGTTCCATCTGGCCATTACTAAAACTGACACTCAAAAACTTCAATCCCACGCCTCGCTTCATCAATGCCTTTTTGAGCTTGTTCTGAGGTATTTGTCACCAGGATTGAATGGACGTTTGAGAAGAACGTTCATATTTGTTCCTTGTCTTCCTAGGCTCTGGCGAAGGGAAATAAGCTAAGATGTAAGCCGAATGACGTACCGTAACATCTAGACGGCTTCAACAAACTCATCGCTCGAGGCATTCCTGCCCTAGAATTAGAATTGCCCTGGAATCACTCCTTGCACGAGAGAAGTATGGGGATTTCCATATCTCCAGAGGTTTCTAGGTGGCGCACAAAACCATTCATGGTCCAAGGATCGAACTAACCAAGACAGTTGAATGGCTCCAGACTCGTCCGGTAATAAGCGCTATTTGACCATTTGGTTGGCCACTGTAAGTATTGTCGGTGTCAAACACCCATTCGAAACCCTATTAATCCGATTAGAAGTCGAATATAAGAACGCATTCCAAAACGGGTACCATCAACGTCAAAAGGCTTCATAACTTCATTTCTATTCGTGATTGACTAATTTTTTGATTAGGATGAGTATTTAATTGTTTATGTGTTTGATTGATACACATTGCAAGAATGTGCTTTCAAACCATATACCACTTAGATCGATCGGAATTAGAAACAATACCCAATTAAATAGCAATTATTCTTTACTATGACGTCTTTTCTAACTCCTTATAAGATTATTATTTATTTATGAGTGTAGACCAGTGATCAGAGCAAGTGTTGAACAACCCACCAGAATGGCACACAACGCCGAAAATTGACCAAAGGTGTGAAGACCTTGATTTCCGAGCTTCTGAAGGTTCTTTTTGAGCTATCTACCCAGTAGTGATACAGTTGGAAGCGCCTGAACCTCAGATTCGGGACAGAGAAGACAACATGAGTGTCAAAAAATCGAATTAACGATTAGGGAATGCGATGGAAAGATATGCTGATGAAATCGAAGGAGTCTGCCTGTCTCCAAGAGGGATGGTTGAATTCTCGTTCTCAATTTTCGGTCCGAGGATGATAGCCATCGAAGAAGATCAGCATGAGCTTCCCCAAAAGTGCAAACTGCTAGCATTGCCTTCTCCGAAAGTAGGTCCGAGTAAAAATCGCACAATGTACGAAGACCGCACCTACTAGATTCATACCGTATTTTGATTCATCACGCCCATCTGGTAAATCTCAATACGCCAAAATGCCTGATAACAAGGACTATAACTGCATATATTGTAATCGTTTCGTACCGTTCTGATTGGGATTTGTGCCCATCGCTTGAGGTTGTAGTGGTGGAGCTAGTCCCATCGCTGCTGACTGGGCAAACATTGGATGCACTGGCATTGGGCCAGAGTAAGTCGCCATTCCAGGCATGACCATGGGAGCAGTGTAAGTCATAGGCATCGCTTGTGGTGATGTCATACATTGTGTTCCACCAGCGGATTGGCCTCCACCAATATTACTGCAGAACAACTTCAGTAAATCGGGCAGAGCACAGTTCGCGAAGCTGTAGAACAATCACTCACTTGAGTGCTGGTGCTGACTGGGCTGAGCTTGGCATGTTCACCTGATCACGCTTAGGAATTGGTGTGTTCGGTGCAGTTGCGTACGGTAGAGTTCCACCAAGTATGGCTCCAGTGGAAGGCAATGTATTCACTGAATTTCACTCTTGACACACAACTGACCTCTTACTTGAAGCCACTCACTTTCAATGTTTGAGTTGACAGATGGAATGCTTGTTACAGGTGTAGGATTAGTGAAGTCGGCAACAGGAACCTAAAAATAACCTAGTGAAACGATTCATTTCAGTATCGTCCATCAGCAAGAGACAAAGCTTAAGAAGTTTTCAAAGCGCTGGACTGTGTTGATCGAGGTTCGAGGGTTATAAGTTTTAAGAATTACCTAGAAGCGAAGTTTGCTACAATGATCTGCACGCACTCAATTCTTCCACTTCCTTGAGAGAAGGCTCTGTAACATCAACAATGTCTCACCTTGAGAGGCCTCTGTAGCTTCGCAATCCATCATGTTTATTAGTGAACTGGTGAAAATGGGTGCGCTTCGTTGCGCGTGTCCGTCGAAACTAGGTCACGCCGCAGCCGTCGCACGCGGCGAGTCGGCCTGCGATGTTTGACAGACGTTGCAATCGCCACTGGGGCATACGCTTTGCGTTTGGTCCACGGCAGTCAGTTCAAGAAGAAGATAACACAGACAAATGCAAATCTTTTGCTCCAATGACACTTGGTGGTACTGTAATGTCATCTCGAGACCTCGTTGTGATGCGCCGCGCGCGAAGTGGGCGGGGTGACCTACTTTCCACGGACACGCACAACGGACGTTCTCCGGTGAAAATGTAGTTGGGGGTGCCAGGCACTTTTGTGCTCTGCGTCTCTTCACTTCTTACTCTATCTAATCACTCACCCATCCCGGAGCTCCTCCCCTTTTCGAAGCTAGGGAAGGAGCTCCGGGGTGGGTGAACCAGTTGGATGTTTAATTCTTACCCCGTCCCAGCTTTCTGCACGAGATAATCAGCTCTCTCACCCCGGATCTCCTCACCCAACTTTCAGAAGGGGGGGGGAATCCTCTGCGATCTCTGTGTACTCTGCCGCCGGTGTCAGAGACGCAGAGCACAAAAGGGCGCTGGCACCCCTCAACTACATTTCCACCAGTGAACTTTATAATGGAAACCCATCTCTTCACTGAACGTGCGGGAATGTGCAGCCATTAAAGACGTGAATATGTTTAATCTAATGAAGACACGGGCCAAATTTGTCTTAACTCTTAAGATTGGGGTTGTGCTTCACGCCTACAAACGCTGAATCATACGTTAGTAGTAAAAAACTGGAGACAGCTCCAGCCTTCAGAAGTGAGAGTGCTATAATGTGTGCGAGTTGCGGGTGCCTCCAAATCACCTGAATGAGGGCTCATGAGACTAGCGGCATGTTAGAACAGAAGAGAAATCTTCTGAATTTAGGAAACGGAAAGATGGTGAAAGTAGACAAGTGGTAGTGACTGGAGAATAGGGTCGCGAGTGTTACATGACCCATAAAAAATACTCAAAAATTCAAGCGGCCACCCAATTCGAACAGCTTGCTTATAATGAGTGTTTCAATCAGTCGGCCCTCTCAGTTCCATGCCCGGAAAAATTTCCCACACAGCTAGATTTGTAAAGGTAGAATAATGCATGATATTTTTGCAAAAGACGCATGAACACTAAGAGCTTCTGACCTAGCAGTAGGTGGTCGTCGGCGAGTAGGCACGACATAGTAGTGAAGGAACGCTTCTAGCAGGAACTGACTGCACGACCCTTTCTATTCTCTTCGAGCCTCTCGTGGGTAGAATCTTCGGTTTGCCTGTTTTCAGATGTCCCACGGAGTACCTGATGGAGATGAATGAAAGCAATGAGTTAGTAAGGTACTGTACGGTTTAGGTAGGAACGAAACACATCAGACATCAAAAAGGCCGCTGAAGGCGAGATCAGCATACTAAGTTCCGTGAAATGCGGAAACCATACCAAAACCCGATCCTGATCTCATGCACGTAAAGCGTCACGCTCACCGCTTCTCCGAATCACTTCTGTGACAAAGTTATTGCCATCTCTTGAGTGTGAGTTTATGATAATCACTTACCTGAAACTGCCTTCATGACTTCGTTCGAAGAGTCTTTTGGCAAGTTTGGAAAGCTGATCCGAAAACAGCACTCAAAAATATGTATAGTGCTGACAGTTTCGATTCAAATGGTCACTTCGCCTTGGGATCTTCCCCGGTAAGATTGTCAAGAGAATGCTCAAAGAAGGTATGTGTCTTATAAAATACCACCAGAGTTGTTCTCAGTAAAATCAGTGCGCTTTGTCTGGGGATACTCTAAACGAGAGAAAAGGACGAACTTTCTGAAATCCATGAAGTATGCGTTTAGTAGAGCTAACGCTGGGCTGAAAAAGAAGAGAAGTGGTGATTGAGCTCACGCACCCACTTCTCTCTTGTAATCGAAATTCAATGAGCGATTCTTATAGAAAGAAGCAAAATAAATGGGGTGCTGAAGGATAGGGCCAGAAAAATTAATTTCAGGAGTAAATATAGGTGGAGAGAGAAGGGAAGGGGTGTAGCATTCTTTTGAACCATTGAGGGCTAGAAGGCAGAGAGGGAAGGGAAGCCGACTTCGCGAGCCCGTAATTGTGCTTAGGAACGTTTCGGAGCCGAGAACTATGTTTTTTTTTTAACCTATTTTTGAAGAAATAGGGAGCTCCGGGATGGGTGAGCCAATTGGACAACCAATTCTTACCCCATCCCAGTTTTTTGCACGAGGCAAACATCTCCACCCCGGAACTCCTCGCTTCCGAAGGCTAGGTAAAAACAATATTCTTTTAGCTAAAAACATCTAAGCCTAAGTAAGGTTGGCTACCCTGCTTCTCTGCTAGCCTTCAATTATTCGGACGATGCCGAATTAGACTACTTGCTCAACGAATTTGTGATCGCCCAACTCAATTACATCACCTAGCTTTTCTTACAAACACAAAAAAGAAGTTAGTGAGAGATATGAATGTTTGTCACCTGACAATCTGAACTTTGCCTGAGTTATCCAAAAATGATCGCTGCCCGAGTTCTATGTAATAGTTTCACAACTCATAAGCAACAAGAGGTGGACGCTCAATTAAAGCATGCAACAACAAATCACTAATAGTAACCTTATCAGCAACGATGGTGTTATCCTTCAGTGTGATGTCGCTACTTTTCTCGTTACCAGGATAAGCCGGTGGAGGTGAAGACGACATCCTAGTTGTGCTCTGAACAACCTGAAAATGAGTTTTGGAAAAATGTTGCAGAGCATTGCGAAATAAAATTGAAAAATAATTGGGGAGAAAAAAAGGTCTGGAACGTCGGAGCCGAAGGTTATCATGTACGCTTGAGAGCGATAAAGTGGCGCAGTTTTCCCGCGCTTTTCGATCACACCATCGATCTATCGGATGATCAAGATCAGAGGCTGACTGTGAGGCGAATCATGTAAAATCCATTTCTGGCTCCTTCAGCCACACAAACGCGCGTGCCATTAAACCATACTAGAACACAGCTTAGGAAAGTGCTCAAGATCATTATGCTACCTTCTGGTTTCTACCAAGCCCAAAATCTGAATTACATATTTGTGCACTTCGTGAAAGAGCTTAAGCCCCGCTAACTTTGCGGAGTCTATCGCTTTCGACCGACAATACTTAGTTTGGGAGTTTTCTGGTTTGCTGTTCTTGCTACTGATGAATATCTACGGATTGCTAAACACGTGGTCATTATAGGAGACCACGTTCTTGCTTCTTCTTCTTCTGTATATTTCCTCCCTCATCAACACCAGTTCCAGCTATTTTTCATTAGACTGCTCTAATGCTTTAAAAGTCCATTGGTCCTATTTCAAGCTTGTTGCTCACTTTATAGCTCTCAGCCGCTTGATTGCATACGATTTGTTCTATGCAATGACTGGCGAAAGTTAGCTAATGTAGAGATCGAGGTTTTTTTCACAAATGGCCCAGCATTTGATCTTAAATGTGTTTCCTTGTTAGCCTCCTTTCAATAGTTCCTGTATAAACCAGGAAGCCATTCGGTATCTTTCAATGTTATGGCCTACACTTTGATATCATACCATTGTGACCTCTTTCACTGAATAGTAGTGGGTTCCATTCGAGGCTTACTAACCGTGTGTATCCGTTGTTAACTACATTACTGGTTCGTTAAGTTGTACTATGTAGTTAAATGATTTACAAACTTTGTTTAAACTGTTCCCTTACAGTTTCAGGTAAAACGATGGCAGCAGCAAGTAAGTCTGCTTTCGACTTTTTCTGATACCATTACTTTATGATGTTATTGTATTGCAGAAGCAGATTCAAAAGCTAAGAATTCGAAAGTGAGTATTTTGTAGACCTTCAGTAAGTGAGAACATCAACAGCTCGAGTTAGCCTTTACCAGGAACACAACATTCAGACTCTACTTGCTGAGTGCAGAACAGGATGCTCCGGCTTCGCGGGCTCGTCTAGGGGTGGCAATGTAGTTGGGAAGGGCACCGATCACAATGTTAGTGTATCAAGAAATCAGTGTTACGTGCTATTCCTGTTACACCAGCGACATGCAGTTTTTTAACTAAGACTTAGAAGGGAAGGAGCACCCGGGATGGGCAGTTTTTTAGCTTTTCGCACGGAAAACTGTCTTCAATGATAGATACCTTCGAAGCGGAACAACACATTGCTATTTTCTATGCTGTGGGGCTTCGAGAAAAGGACCTAAGTATGTCAATCGAATCCGAAACATCATAAAAGACTATCCTACTCGCTTCGTTTTTATCCCGTGACATGTGCTCTTCTTGTTTGACCATCTGTGGATGCACGTGAAACATCCGCAATGTTTACTCACGTATATAGGCGTACGAAGGTGTTATCTGTTACCCACTTCGAAGCTCCTACCTTCCTGAAGCATAATTGATCATCTACATTACCCTGGCTGAAACCGCGTGAAAGCGCACAGATAACAGGTGTGCATCTTCCTTCTCGTCTCTGATACAACTCTAATACATGACAAAGATTGATACGTAACACTGAGTTCATTCCTTGTTATACTAACAGTGTGATGTTGTGTTTCACGTGTTTCACGTCTAGAGGTGCCTAATAGCGGGTTCCGAATTCCCTAGTTATCTCTGGATTTTAAAGTCACGTGAATAGGTTACACAGTAATCCGAAGACATTCGAGGGCCTCGAAACGCCCATCACATATACGACGCAACAAAAAGGTACTCTGGGCGAGGCACACGGGTTGGTTGGGGAATCGGGGGTACTGTATCACACGTTTACGGGACTTCAAAATCTGACTTATGTGGTTTTGATTCAATTACCGTTATCATCAAATGGATCTTCAAAACTTCTCCACTGCGCGGATAAAATGACACACCATACTGATCAAGAACAAACACCTGTTACAGCTATTCTAGGCCCGGAATGGATTTTTTGGCCTAAGCTCAGGGATAGGGGAGCTAGGATGAATGAAATGCTGACCTTATGGGAAAAGTTGAAATGGGAAAGGAGTTGGTCAATCGAATTCCAATAATGACTCTAATAATCTCAGACTCAGACAAGGGATAGAAACCTAGTTTCTACAGGCTCTTCCCTCGTACGAACCCCCTCTCTAAAAACAAACCACTATAATGGAAATACATCTATATGCGTACTGTTCTCCAATAATTAGGCTACGACGGGTATGGTCAACCACTGGAAATTTGGGAAGTCTTTTGGCTATAGAATTAGCTCCTTAGTCTCTCTTCTGTACCAGTGAGCAAGACCTTATTGTGAAAACACAATCTATTTTTCCCAGTCTAAAAGTATGCATTCCCAGGAAAATGCGCCATCACAGACTAACAGTAACCAAAACTTCAATGTGTGTCTTATGCCAACGAAGGAAGCTATCGAAGCCACGCCTGGCACCCCTCTGACAAAAGGCTAGCTACTTCTAAACCAACATTGGTACGAAAACAATTAAAGAATTTTGCTATAGAGGAACTGGCTAGACTGCAGGCTGAAGGTCAGCTGCCTAAAAACTTGGATGCTATAGAAAGATCTGCTACTATGCATAACTTGAAAGTCGGAGACCAAGATTTTGTAGTGGTATGTTGCCTGGTTAACATTACTACGATATAATCAGGAACTCTTTACCGGACGGCCTATAGATAATGATGGATCCTCCTCCATGTGGATGTGTTCGCCTTATGAATGGGAAGAAGAAGCGTTGCAAGAAACATAGACAAGAACGCAGAGCGAGGAGGAAAGCGAAGAAAGAGAAGCAAAAGAAGGAAGGAAAAGAAGGGAAGATGGTAAAGGATGACGACAGCGACAGAAAGTGAGAATTCCTAAATAACGGTTAGAGAGAAATTTTCAAAGTTTTATTGAAGGAAAGTGGTGGAACTGCGTCATGCAGCTGATTCTGAATGCGATGAAGACAAAGCCATCGATGGAGCAATCACTCCCGATAAAGTTGCCGTAGTGGTAAGACACCTCGTCATCAAGATGAAATCGTCAACAAGTTGAAATCGTCCAGGGTCCCGCTGGTGTGGCTGTGTTGATAGATATTGAAAAAGTGCAAGGAGAAGAAGTCGGTCCAAGAAAGAAGGTCGACAAACCGATGAAGGGAATACTCGTCAAAGGAGCTCACGGTCGCTTAGTTAGTTGATGATTCATTTATTTCATCTTTAAGCCAGATTCGATTCAGAAACGCCACAATTCATCCCCGAGGATAAGATTGAGAAAGGCAAAGATGGCCAGCCAAAGTTCAAAAACTATACAAGGGGAACACTTGTCTGTGGCCCTCATGGTGAATCGATTTTCTATGCGGATAAACAATGTCAGGTCCGATGGAATGCAGCAGTTAAAGTAAATTCCATGTAAACAGTAAATATCATATAAATTTTCAGCCAGACTCCAAGGGTAATCCACAAAATGTGACCGTCACGGGAGTCGATAAGAACTTGCAAAAAAAGATAGGAGAGACCGGTGATCTTCTTGTACGACATTTTAGAACTGCCTCTATTTTCAAATGCTTGTTGCAGTTTTCCCCCCGTGCGAAGTGGAGGTGAACGACAAGGGCATGCCAGTGTTGATTATGATCACAGATTCCAAAACCGTCCCTAAGGTACGAAATATGAGGTTATGCTGAAGGATGGAAGATTTCTTCATCGCTGTCGACTGCTCTGTGAAATTAATCGTTATCAGGACAAATGTGCAACAGTGGGGGTGTTGGTGAAGAACAACGAAGGTGTCGTAGTGTTAGCCCAATCAGGAGGACAAACCGTTGGCGCCAAAGATAGTAGGTTTTCTTCGGCTTCTATGCGAAAAGACTGTTTTTTCTAAAAAGGGTTTCTGAACTGAAAGTATCGAGAAGATCGTACAGGAACAAGGTGGTCTTTAGTTAATGAAGGAAGTTATAGCGAAGTCAAAGCTGCAATTCTATAGGAGATACCGACTCTGGAGTCTCATGGTGGAGGCGAGTCGCTCAGCTTTCACCAGTCTTCTGAACGGGATGCGCTATATACCCGAATTCCATTCAACATAGTGGTGGCCTTTGGTTGTTTGAGCAGTCTGTCATGGCGGAATTGGTGTAGTGGCAAGTGACGTCCTCCACACACGCAAGAAACGGTTTCGAATCCCGGATCGATATCCGCCCGGGCCGACCAAGCCTTGCATTGCTCCGATGCCGATAGTTGGTACCAGGTTCGTCTGGGAGGATGGAAGCACTGACTTGTACATTGGCTGGCTACTGCAAGCCATTGTATAGGTCATATACGTATTCAAATCATCACTACGATCCTGAGTGGGAGTCGCATGCGGGAGCACATCCTTTAGACGGAATTGATTAACGACTTTATTCTTCAAAATTTTATCCTTTGATTGTAAACTGTCGAGAGAGTGGAGGGAGTGTGGTTGTTGAAATCAATGCTTACATAACCGAAAACGGAGCAGTAGTGGTCTCATGGATTTCAGCTGAGGTGGCAATTATCTCGAGAATCGGAGGCCCTTGTTGCATACGCATTGAAGCACTCATTGAGCACTATTGATTTTTTCTAAAAATCATATGTGTGACGTAACTTACAACCTTTCTTGCTGAATTGAGCTTTAAACAAGTTCAGCGGAGCTCCCTGAACGCACTACTCCTCAGACTCCCAGTTAACCGAATTTCAGACGCCGAATGTGTACCGACAACACCTACTGATAAAGTAGTACCGGGATGTGTGATAGGTAAAGTGGTCGAGGATAGAGCCACCGGTACATATATAGTTATACACTGCAGTCAAGCCGTAGGCCCTAATCAAAAAGTCGTCGGTACTCTTCTACAGGTGAGCTCTGTTTATGTTCTTTACTAGAGGAAAAAAGGCAATAATTAGCCTACTTCGATGAGTAGTTTGCATTCTAGGGTAATTACTGCGAGCCGATATTCGTCAAAGATGAAGCAGCCGCAAGCGGTAACGTGAAAGACACTCTTCCAGCTATTGCAAAGTGTGTAATATGGCCGAATTTGTTATGCATGGTGACTACCCCATCGAAACACCAATCCATGACTATTTCCACATTTGAGGGAGAACCCTCCACTTAGTTCATGCTTAGCACTCCCCTGTACGGCTGTCCGGTTCAATACTAACATATGATAAAATAAAGTACGACAGACGCAGAACAGCCAGCATAAAATGAAACCTCAGATTCTAATCTCATTATCTCAATACTTACAATTAGTTTTATCCTGTCACAATATGATCGGGAAGAAATCTCGGGTAATCAGACATCTGGGTAACTGTATTTCTTCACGAATTTCCACTGCCAGCGGTAGTGCTCTCACGGCGAATACCGCATTCTCCAACTGGAAACTCGAATCTCCCCCCTATAACCCAATACCGCGCGCGAACGGATGCGGCCAGCGCGGCACGCCGTTCAGGTACAAGAATCCACACCCTAGACATTGGGGCCAGAACACGCAGTTGGATTACGGTGAGGAACGCGTTTTGACTACGTTTTCGTTTTATTCCCCTCTAGACCCCTGATAACTCGCCAACGCACTCACTTATCATAACAATACTGATCGACTTAATGCTAAGGTTGTGTATTCGTTGGAATTCATCAGTTCTCTGAAGAACTATAGAATATGAAAAAGGATTCAAAAAAAGTTTAGAAGCGAAAATGAGGATAAACAGTACCAGCCTCAAATCGAGAAAGCTAATATTTTGGTCCAAGCACAGGTCGAGGGGAAGACTGTCACGCAAATTCAAAAGGTCTGTGGGCTCGAAGTCGTGATCGCTGATTTCACCTGAACGCTCATCGATTTATAGGAGAGAGCTGAAATGCAAGCTTGCCAACCACTTACTATTGGAGAAGTTTACTCAACCGCACTCGGAGATGGAGGCAGAGATGCGCGAAGCCATTTTTTGAAAAAAGTAGGTTCAAACATCTTACACCATTTTTTAAAGAGGGTCTCTTCGACCCGCAGGTCCATTCGAAAAGTTTTAAAAAATCGTTACATTAAGGATATGGAGGCTCCTACAGGTGCTGGAGGATCTTCCGCAGCCCCTACGGGTGCGGGAGGACCTTCCGTGAGTTTTGCTCTTATACATATTCGAATTCACGACATGTGGCAATGAACCTTCGCAATTACCAATCATACTATGTGAATTTGCAGTACTATGAAGCAATACTCGAATGAAAACAAACTTCTTCCGAATTTTATGTTTTACCACTTGTAAATCTAATTGCGATTCATCCAAAATCAGATTTTTTCAAGGCGTATAAATACCAAGGAAAAGGTGTGAGCAGCACGTTTGTCAATGTCGTGAGTTAGCCAACAGCATTTTTACTTATAAGATCTTTTCTAATGTTTTAATGCCCAACTAATTAGGATTGGTAAACTAAATTTCCTCGGCGGAAACCGCATAAAAGGGCTAAGCTGGTCGATTTCCATCATCCTCGACGCACCCGATACAGTGCTGATATAACAAGGACTAACACGTTAGACTGAGTTCATTTCTTGATATACTGACCTTCGGGTGGGTGGCCCCCCAACTACATTTTCACCGGAATCTCATATTAAAGCTTCGAAAATGAAACGCCTAATTTGGAATGCCTTGGATACCTTCGATTGCAAAAGATCGAAAAGATGAGTATGGGCGTGATCACTTCCACCACACCTTCCATTTCAATGATTGACTCCTGCTTTGAAAAACTAGGATATCACAAATGGTTCCTACGTTATCGGCCTCACTTTTTGTTGGTACCCCTAACATAGCTTCAGTAAACAATGACTTGATGACAACTTGATAGGGGTAACTATGAAGTTGAGCCTAAAAACCGCGGCCTAATGGCGTCTGATAGCACACACCGTGTGCGTATCGGGACGATTGATTAGGTTGTCATGCTCCTCTACCAGATGCCATTTGACTGCTACCGAGCGTATCCAAAAACAAACATTTAAGTTAGCTGGTCCAGAAAATTACTGTATGTTAGAGCACCCATAATCACATGTCATGATTTTGTATATAACTGAGCTGCCCGGCTTGAACAGAAGAACTGGTAGGCGGGAGCAGATATAAATTGTAATTCGCTGTAGCATTCATTCATGGCTTCCAACAGCTCTTTCTGCCCTTCTCGACCACTCAAGGACACAACAACTGGCGATCAGGATTACGACGTCGAGGATTATGCCGCCATGGCCGGTATGCCAGGAGACTATCCAACCAACGATCTGCTGCAGATGATGGCCATCAACACAAGCCCCTCGTCGACCTGCTTCAGAAGATGACAACGCCTACAGTCGCACCGCAAGAGACCGTATTCGACCGGATCTCATCGAGAATCGAAAAATTTCCCTACTTTGCTGACCAGGACGACTGCTTCAATCTACGGTTCAATCGGCACAAGGGCGTCATCGGGGTCGACTGTCGAAGGATGGACGAAGCAAGGCTGGCACACTTGCTCGCCTTCGTGCTTAGACGCTACAAGCAACAACCGCTCTGCTCGCCACATCAGCCGATTACTGCTTCAACTCCTTCGCAAGCTGGACGAAGACGAGAAGAATACTGTCGACCTAGTCAATAAGTACCACGCATGGAAGTCGGTCAAAGAGGACTCCAAAATCGTTGAAGCCGCCAATTCACCATCTATTCGCACCAATCGCTCAAAAGAGTGAGAAACAGCGCCTTCACACCGCGAGTAATTCTCAACTTCCGCCATCACCGTGCCCAATCTGCCAACAGAACACTGGAGGAAAGACTGCCCACAAAGGCTGCTTTCACGGCCGGCCGGCGTGCACGAGGCAGTGCTAGGGGGGAGGAGGGCGGCAGACGGTCGATCAGCCCCTCGAAGGGCTGTAAACAAGGAGAGACAAGATCAAAAACCATTTTTACGAGCCCCTGGTTGTTTGGTCTCTGATCTTGTTCTTCTTTGTTTTCAACCCCTCGACCGACTGCCTGCCGCCCCCCTCCCCCCTAGCACTGCTTCGTGCACGCCGGCCGGCGGACTATGAAAGCAGCCAAAGCCGCAACGCTACCAGTGCCGTTCAGTAGTCAAGCATAGATCCACGGCGTCGCATCGAGCAGTTGTTACTGCGCATATGGTACCAACGGACCATCGGAGTTGTTCAAAATACCTGGAGGCTCGCAACAATGGACACTCGCCTCCAGTTGGACGACGACGCCGACATCTCTCGTCCAACCTGGATGCAATTCGGAAGCCTGCGGCTACGAAATTTTCTGACATGGTCAAGGGAGCCAACGGTGTATAAACGCCAATTCACGGAAGTTCTGAGGCTACTTTCGTGGTAGTGGACGACTAAGGAAAGGCTCATCCTAGGTAACGTGTCTGCTAGTCTCCGACAACAACTACCTTCTTGGCATTACATGCATCGAGCAAATCTGTCTTGAATAGATTCAACATCCAAAAGGTACAGACGCTCGACTACGACGTAATCCGAGACAAGACGATCTCCAAGCTTAGCACCACTACACCGATGTCCTCTAGCCGGGACTTGGACGCTGTACCTAAATTAAAGCGACGCTTTACCTCAAGACCGATGCTCCGATGGGCCGGGCCAATCGTCGCTATGAGAAAAGCCAATGAACCCGTCCAACTTCGTGCCGACTTCTCGAGGGAACTCAGCGATGCAGTGCTGCTATAGTGGCACTCACTGTCCACCGCAGAGGACATATTCACCAAGTTCAACAGCGTAACTGTCTTACCTAAGATCGACTTCATCGACGACTACCCACCAGGTCGGAGCGACGACGACCCCAAGGAGCTTCTCACAACCAACATGCATCGGAGACGTTATCGCTACTATCGCTCGTACCCTCTACCGTTCATCGACAAGATGATCTCTGTAGCCAACAGCGTTGCTCCCTACATCGACGACATCTTCAACACCGGCCACACACTCTTTGAGCACAACGCCAACCTGTAAGTCCTCACACGATCCCAAGAAAGCCGATGACATTACTCAGAGACCAAAACTGAAGGATATGTGCAGGTCCGGTCATTCCTCGGTCTCATCAATCATTATGGAGCGCTCATTCCGGAGATGTATCAGCTCCGTGCGCCGTTTGACGTACCACTTAAGAGGGATGCTTTGTTAGATTGAAATTCCGAATGGGAGGCCGCTTCCGGACGCGCCGAGAAGTGCTCGCTTCTATCCTGCTCCTGACCTATTACAATCTGAATCTGCTATCGTCGAGCCCGACGCTTCAGACTATGGAATAGGAACGGTCATCTCCCATCATTACCCGAATGGATCGGAAAACGCTGTGTACTACGCTAGCCGCTCTCTCAGCACCACGGAGAACTACGCTCAAGAGAAAGGAAGAATTTGCACTTATCTACGCTGTCCGCAGGTTTCACCGCTACATTTATGGACGCCACTTCACCCTTCCCAAGGACCGTAATCCACTCTTGACCGTTTTAAGACCGAAGAAAGGAGTCCCTGCATACTCGGCAAACCGCCTACAACGCTGGAGGCTCACACTGCGCGTACGATTTCGATATCGAGTATCGGAGCACTACCAGCTTCGAACAGACCGACGCACCCTCTCGGGTGTGCGAATATTGGTGCGATCGCACCTAATCAAGCTCGCCTCGCACCTAGGCGCGAAGTGACTCAGATTAGGTGCGAAGAGTAATGATGCTGCCCGCACTCGCTACTAAACGAGTAAAAACTTGTCAACTAAAAGGATAATGACAGTTAAAAAGTGGTGTTTTTGTCTGAAAAAAATGTTTTTCGAAAGAAGTTCCAATATCAATCCCAACAGTTTTGATAGTTCTATTTCCATGCATAATAAATAAGTTCATTATATTTGTAGTTAAAGCTTCTGGGATATGATAAAAACGGTTCAATTCCGGCGTAATAAGAATGCCTGAAATAAAACGGAGATTTATAAGTAGAAACTCAGCTTTTTTTGTTACTCAGGACATCTTTATACAAAACTCTTGTATTTGCTTACGCCTTGCTCCTTGCTGTTGAAACAGTACAGGGCGTCTCTAGAATGCATGGTGATATCTTATAAAGAAGCATGGGTATTTGAACACTGACCCACCTGGTTAAATAGTCTTCCATGAACTCTCTTCAAGAAGCTGACTTAGCTTGAAGTCTTGCAATAAGCCGTAAAAACTGCGAAATGGCCTTAATGGTGAGCCGTAGGGCGTTCAGTGACTTCTCAATGAAGAACAGTACCAATATTAAATATAATATAATATAGAGACCTACATCGCTTCTGTGAAGGTTCAAAATAGAAATATATTGAATTTATTATGTATGGAAATAAATTTCTCAAATTTGTCGGAATTGATATTGGAACTTTTCCTTTCAGAAAACTCATTTTTAAATAGACTTTTTTTTCTAACTGTGATTATCCTCTTTAGTTGACAAGTTTTAACTCGATTAGTAGCGAGTGCGAACAGCATAATTACCGCGGAATCTTCGTACCTAATCAGGGTCACTTTGCGCCTAAGTGCGAGGCGAGCTTGATTAGGTGCGATCGCACCGGCATTCCCGTACCCCATCCTCTCGTCTCACTTCCGCTCAGTCGCCACCGGAAGAAGACGTCGTAACCACCTAACTGGCCAGAAACGTCAACGCAATCTGCGACAATGTCAGCCGTCTATCTGTCACTGCCGAAGATGTAGCACGTGCGCCCGCTGGGGACGACTGCCCAAGTCAAGTCCTGGACCACGTCGTTCACAACTGGCTGAAGAAGTCATCGCTCCCGCTGCTCATCATGTCCGTCTGCACAACGACCTTCCAATGCAATAAGAATGCCTACTCTGCCCACATCATCGTCCCGCCTGTACCTTACAGACTGTTATGAAAGCTTTCCACGAAGGACATTGAGGAATGAACGGAATGGATGCCCTCTTTCGCAACCACGCGTTCTGGACGAAGATCAGTACGACTTTCAGACTTTCAGAAGCTCATTTGCACCTGCGCCGCTTGCCGCGAAACCGTTAAGAATACAATCTGTTCGTGGTCTCGCCCAGGTGCGCCAAGGAGCCGAATCCATATCGATTTCGTCGGCCGAATTGAGGGAATTTCTACCTGGTGGTAGTCGACACTTTCTACAAATAGCTCGAGATCACCCCAATGATTTCCATCACTAGTCCTGCAATGCTTCGACATTCACTCGCGCATTTCGGAATTCCGCAGACCATTGTCTCAGATAACGGAACTCAATTCACCTCCGCTGGATCCAGGATTTATACCGGAACAACGGAATCAAGCAGGCTCGGTTGCTGCCTTTATCTCCCGTCTACTGGACAAGCTGAATGCTTTGTCATCACATACAAGCGCTCGAACGGAAAGATCAAAGACAATGGACTGGCCGTCTATGCTCTGCGCACATTTCTCCTCACCTACAGAAACACGCGGTGCACCGCATCACCCGATGAACGATCCCCCGCTAACTTCACCGGTCGACGCCTCCGCAGCATGCTGGACCTGCTGAAGCTAAACCAAGCGCCAGAAGCTAGGCCAGACATCTTCATGGAGATGCAAGCTAACCGACGACATGGCGTCAAGTCAAAGAAAACTAGATGGTCTAGCCTCGCCACTTCCGCATTACACGTCCTACGACGACATGGCCGTACGCTATACGACGTCATAGTTCAAGGATCCATTTGGAAGCGCCACGGCAATCAAATTCGCCCCGTGACGCACTGGGAGAAAGTATGAACGCACTTCCTTCAGGATGACCCGTACGCCAAGTCGTTCTAGGACCGCCAATCTTAGGACGAAGGCGCACCTGTGATGTCATACCAGTAGACTATATGATTTTGTGTAGAACTGATCTGCCGGTTCATGACTTTCAATAACTCTTCCTACAATTCTACCACTCAAGGACACAACACAGGACAGATAAGCAATCTGGCTTTACAAGTCAGAGATTTTGAATTGAAGCCAATTACCTAGGACACCCCTTTCATTTATTATACTTTCATACTTGGAGAGACCTAGCCAATGGTGGCGAGGGCAAGGCTGCACAGGCCCGAATAAACGCGGATGAAGTAAAAGAATTTCATTGATATCCTCTACGACCGAAGGTGCTCAATGAAGCTCAAGGAAAGATGCACCGAACAGTGACGAGGCCTACGATGCTTTAATTCAGCGAGTGCTGACCCGTAAGTAAAAATTGTGATAGACAACATTAATTCGCTGAAATGGGGATGCTCAGATGAGCCCGCGGCTGGACACGATTGAACAAATTAGAAACAAGGACGTCTGTACAGTCACAGGTGCTGTTTAACTGAAGATAATATAGCAGCGCATGTGATAGTATGTATGGATGCGTACTGAGAAAGCCACAAAACTCTAAGCTAGGCTATGGTATTCGAGCCTCGAGAGAGCAATCAAGAAAAGCCCCATAGAAGAGATGGCAAAACACGATCAGAGAAGTCTTTGCCTAAACTAACTGAGTTAAGGCTAAAAAATGCTATAGATGAAAGAAAGTGCAGTCAACACAAAGAACAGCAACCCCTCCAGGGGAAAGGAGCTCTCTTCTATTCAAGCAATCGTGTAAATTGCTAAATTGCAACTGTTCTTCGATGAAGTTATATTGAATGAAATTGTAAGGGGGTGAATGAGAAAGAATGAGAAAATGAGGAGTTCACTTCAGGGTGGTCCGTCTGGTCCGTCAACGTCTCAAAAACCTTTACCCCCTGTAGGGTCCGACACTCGAAGCGTCTATCTCCTGAGGAAATGATGTGAGTTCCTTTGGTGTTGCAACTTGCTGTTGCACACTTACCAAATGCGACCTTTCAGGAGTTCCTGCCTTGAACTCGTACTGTGTGCCGTCAATGCGATACACATTGAATAAAAATACACTAATTTCCTAATCGACATATAAATCCCAGTAATATATATCCGCTGTTTTTCGAAAATTCACTGCGAACTCAGATCCTCCTAGAAAAAATCAGCAATAAAAGCAACAGTGGCATTAGTTGGAAGAAGGCTGAATGGGACGAAGAGATCAGCGACGAAAATGGTCCTAGAGGACAGGCTGTATTGCAGTACGATGAAGAATTGCACAGTTTGAAGTCATAGTTGACAGCGTTAACTTGCCTGAAATACTAGGTATTCCGTGCAAGACCTTCTAGATAGATTGCGCGTACTGACCTGTACTCACAGTTACCAAACGAAGTGTATTGTACGTTGTCTTCGTAAAGGAGGTTGACGGTGTTGGTGCAGGCCTTTTTCACGTGGAAACTCCTTGACGACTGAATTCTAGCTGAAGAAAAAAGCGATTAGGCCTTGGAACGGTAAGGAGTTCGATGCTCTTGGCTGCTTTCATAGTCCGCCGGCCGGCCGGCGTGCACGCGGCAGTGCTAGCGGGGAGGAGGGCGGCAGACGGTCGAACAGCCCCTCGAAGGGCTGTAAACAAGGAGAGACAAGGTCAGAAACCATTTGTACGATCCCCTGGTTGTTTGGTTTTTGATCTTTTTCTTCTTGGTTTTCAGCCCCTCGACCGACCGTCTGCCGCCCTCCTCTCCCCTAGCACAGGCTTCTCAGTAGGGAGGCAGATATGGTATATCCTCGTACTACATTCGTTATGTGATTCGTATTCTTTCACTAATATTTTTAAATTCTACTTTCGAATTGTAGTAGCGTTCAGATCTGAATGCCTTAACCTTGGCAAGGTGAAGGGGCCGCTTGAACCATGCCATGACGCTTACGTCTATCGCTTTAGCTTGTCCACGCGTTAAACAGACAACGATAGAAGGAAGGCAATTCTTAGCAACAGAACTTCCGGAAGTTTCTTCATTTTTTTAAAGCTGGCTAGCTCCTTAAAATTTTGAACTTTCTCGTCAATATATAACTACAATGCCCATCAGATGAATAACTCAGACTCACTGAACAAACAGTATTTGCCTTGACAGGAACCCGTGTTGCAGTCAGCTTGATCGGTTTCGCACTGATAACATGACATGAGTTGTTCTGTAATAGCCTTTGTCGAAATGGCTTATTCTATAGGCTATCCTTCGTTGACTCACGTTCTTGGGCTGAGCAGGCTATATTACAATTGTTTCCTGAATTGCACACCCGTACTTGGTATTGTATGTCGTCAATGGTCCTAAAAAGGGTCCATATTCACTCGTCGAATGTATGCTCTGTTCAGAGTCTCAATCTGCCTTTAGGAATTCCGAATATGCTAAACCATAATTTACTCAAAGGAACTGGTCGAAGAGAAGAAATGCCTTTCTTACGTCCGAGTCCTTATAAGAGGACCTAGACGCCCCAAGGCAGTCCAGCGCATTAGGTACATGATTCCGCCTGTTCGTACATTCAGAGAAGAGTGGAATGAAGCATCAAAACCACGCGCACTTCAATGGTGCTATTATATTTCGGCTTCCAAATATCAGCTTTGCAAATGCACAATATGTTATTGCATATTCACTCCACCTACAACATTCTCTAGAAGATAGAGTACATGAGAAATATGGTTCGACATTGGCAGTGAAAAAGGAAAGCTGTCCCATTGTATAAGGCAAAAATAAAACTAAAAGACAGGAATCGAAGCCAGAGCAAATCAACTCGCAGCAATAAAGAAAAAAGAAGGGAAACTCATATTCTTGCTCTGATACGTCCTTGCTCCATTGATATTGATTGTTCACGAGTAAAATTTCAATGTTTTGAACCCAACTTTTGGAGTGTGAACGACCTGATGCTTCTAACCCAGTAAACGACTACGGAATCATAAAGAGCCAAGAATGTTGAAGTTCCACGAAGACAGGTCACAGATCATTGATGTCGGTTCCCGTCACGCAAGCGATGGCGTGTGATTTGAAAGATAATCGTGAAATAAATCGCAGTTCTTTTCATGTCAAAGGTAGAGAATAAGAGTCTAGGATATTGGATAAAGACTTAGGCGTTAATCAATCTCGTCTGAGGGATGCGCCCACGCATTCGACTTCCATACACAATCGTAGTGGCGTAATGGATGCATATGTGGCCTATACAATGACTTGTGGTGGCCAGCCGCCGGTATACAATAAACAAAATGCAAACAGAGGAGCTTGCTAAATAATACCAAAAACGTAATAAGGTAACAATAAATGAAATGAAGTGCAAAATGGCTCGTTTCGTCTTTTCACCGGACGAACAACCATTTCCACATTCTCCTAAAGCGGTGGTAAGGAGTTAGTGGACAAGGGAATGGGTGGAATGCATCGTTCAATACGGTTAAACAAAGTATACATATGAAAAGTAAGGTATACTATTAACCAGTCGGTTCGCCCGGCTAACACCGGGCTTCTCCCCTTTTTCGACAAAGTTGTAGTAGTAGTGTGTCATATTTTGTTGCAAACAACATTGAACGAAGAGGATCCTTCAATGAGCCATAAACCTTACTCTACCATTCCGTTTTTTTT